TCTCCTGCACGGATTCAGGGGTGCCCTGGAACACCGCGTCGAACACCCAGTGCGGTTTGTTGGCGTACGCATTCGGCTGGTAGGATTTGGCCTTGTGGTCAAGGTAGGCCCTCGCCTTCCCGATCTTCTCATAGTGGACCTGATCAGGGGGGACATCTGGGCGTAGGTCCACAGCTTACGACCGTTCCAATAGTTCGCCTCGTGCTCTAAAACCTCCTTGTAAATCAACGAAATCTCCACGGCGTGGGAGGCAACATGCACGCGGATGCTTATCGAACGACTGCCGAAGATTTCGGAGTCCTGAACTTTGGAGCGAAGCCATTCAGGGAGGTGTTCTTTCAACCTTGCAAGGAAGGGTTCAGCGTCCATTCTCGAAATTCCGTTGGTCCGGCGCTCCTCGTGGATCGAGAAACCGTCGATTTTGAAATAGGGTGGAGCGAACGGCGCTCCATTCCCACTTCCGCTACCGCTCCCATTCCCTCTCCCACTCCCAGCATCAGCCCCTCCACGTTGGCCCGATAACACGGGTTCCTCCAGCTTGCCGATGCGACCGTCGTGGGCGTCGACATTCGGGTTAAGATCCTGGATATTTTTCTTAAACGGTCCGAGATGGGTCTCGGACTTCTGATCAAGCATGTTGGACAAAGCGGCAATGTCAGACATGGTGATGTGCGGATTGGAAAAAAAGTGGCATGATTACTGTACCCTTGTAGCCTTGTATCCTTGTATCCTTCAAGACGCCCCAAGAGGCCTCCAAGAGGGCCTCAAGAGGCAAAAACTGCCTTGGGTATTTGAAGGACTTGGACGTTCTCGCATTTTCGGCTTTCCGACGCTTCAAGACGGCCCAGGAGGCCCCCAAGACCGCCCCAAAACGGCCCAAGAGGCCTCCAGGTTTTTTTGCTATATCAACTGCGAGGCGAAAAAGGGTCAGCGCCACGGCACTACACCCACCTTGAGGTCCTTCCTCTGCGGGTGCAGGAATGTACAGATCATCTTGAAACACCATGTCTGCTTTCTGATGGGCTGGCCGCACTCCTTAGCCAAGCCTCGAATATGGCTGAGTGCGGCGTACGAATGATATCGGATACACAATGTAATGACCGTGCCGTCTGAGACAAGAACTGTCACGGGCTCATGACGCAACGCCTCCAGCACAAGGCCATCGAGCCTCGAAACATCGGCACACAACCCTCCAGGAGGAGGTCGATACGAGCCTTTCACAGAGCACCCGCGCAAACAGTTGTGACACCGCCAAAAACTGCGCGCATCCAAAGAGACATAAGCCCAGTCATGCGGAGGATTTTAGAGCTCCCTAGCCACGGGTGGCGGGGAGGCCATCTGGGAGCCCATTGGCAGCCAGAGAGCAGACCGACTTAGACACACGAGTGCGCAATTCGAGCAGCTGCAATTCGTTCTCCGACGCCCTCGGGTGAGAGGCGGCAGCGCGCTTGGCGGCCTGATCGGCCTCGGCGTTGCCAGTCCGCAGCCAGCGCTCTCTCACAGAAATGTCTGCTTCATGCGGGTCTAAATGAGCCTTGACCTACTGGACAGCTTCGACAAGGTTGGAGCCAACACCATAGAGCACCATGAGTCCAGCGGAAGGCCTTTTTGCAAGTCAACTGCACAGCAACGGGAGAATTGCACTGCTGGGCCACATTCGCGCAGTCCGAGAAAAAAGTCGAGGGCTACTTATCTCCATCCCACCTCGCGCTATCCCAGCAAACTCGGAACTCTGCGAGGCTTGGGGGAAAGGAGAATGGACAGGCCCGATCAACCTGCAGAGCCTACGACCGTCGTCGCCCAACACCACGAGCCCATAACCCGCTCGGGAAAGCTCACTGACCTCATGCCGCAAGCAACAGCCATCGACAAACATGTTACCCGCGAATGTGCCACCACCCTGGGGGGGTCGTTCCAAAGCAGCCGCGCTTGCACAGGACCGTCCTCGCTGGCAGGCCTCGGAAAGGTAGCTCCAGGATGGGGAAACAACCCACGATTGTAGAACAGGTCCTCGAGGGGGTCGGACATGTCCGCGTCAGCGGCCATTCTCAGAATATCAGGCTTCATACCAACAACCCAGGCACGGTGGCGGGATGGGCCGAAGGCCACTAGATCCGCCGCCCCCTGCTTGCAGGGGTGCACGGCGTGCTGGACGTTTCAGGTTTTGGTTTTGGTTCTTTTTCTAAAAGAACTCCCCAGTGGGCTTCGGCCCGTCCCGCCGGCCACCCGTAAGTTTCCGAAAATCCATCTGTCAATGCCTTTGTTGCCCCAACTTGGCCCAAGATGGCCTCCAAGACGGCCAAGATGGCCCAAGATGGCCTCCAAGATGCCTCCAAGACGGCCAAGATGGCCTCCAAGACGGGTAAGATGGCTCCAAGATGCCTCCAAGACGGCCCAAGATGCCCTCCAAGACGGCCAAGATGGCCCCAAGATGCCTCCAAGATGGCCCAAGAGGCCTCCAAGACGTTCTCCAGGAGAGCCCGAAGAGGCCAAAATCATTGGTTTTCCTTAGGTTTTTGAAGGTTTTTTGCGTTTTCTTCTTTTCGGCCTTCCGACGGCCCAAGAGGCCCCCAAGATCGCCCAAGAGGCCTCCAAGAAGGCCCTATGACGGCCCAAGGGCCCCCCAAGACGGCCCCAAGAGCGCCCCAAGACGGCCCAAGAGGCCTCCAAGACGCCCAACATGGCCTCCAAGACGGCCCTGAAGCGCCCCAAGAGGGCCCCAAGACGGCCCAGAGAGGCCCCCAAGACGGCTCCAGACGGCGTCAGACGGACCAGGAACGCCCTAAGACGGCCAAAGAGACCCCCAGGAAGCCCCCAAAGGCCCCCAAGAGGCCCAAGGAGGCCCCCAAGATGCCTCCAAGAGGCCTCGAAGAGGCCCCCAAGAAGCCCCCAACAGACCCCAAGGGTGCCCCAAGAGACTCCTAACAACCCTCATCCTCCTACTCTATTTCTTCCTCTTCCTCTTCCTGTTCATAATCATTCTCTCCCATGTGTTCCCCGAAAGCTTTCCAAACCGACTCGGGGAACTCATGGTCCGATAGCTTGGCCAAGCTCTAGTCCAACTTTCGGCCACATCGGCGTTTCCAAGAAGGCAGGGGGCGGCGGTGATTCGCCGTAGGCGTCTTCGATAAGGACGCCCGATATAGAAGCAAGGGCCTTAGAAGGCCATGTCGATACGTCGCGAGCGGGGCACGGCCAGCGGAAGCGGCCAAGGATGGACCGAAGGGGAAGGATGCAGGGGGGGACCTCGGAAAGCGGCTCGTCCTGCCTCACCGTGCGGGCTGCCCGTGTGCATCCGCCCCCCGGGGCGGGCAGCCGACGGAGGGGACCGGGTAGCCGGCTCAAGCCATTGTCTAACCCTAGGCGCGAACGTGAGGAGGGAGGAGGGAGGAGGGAGGAGGGAGGAGGGAGGAGGGAGGAGGGAGGAGGGAGGTGACCCGAGGCCTGCCCCCCGGCTCTGCCGGGGGCGCGACCGTCGCGCAGTCGTGGAGGGCCGGGGCAGAGACAACGAGCATCGGCGGCGAGCCCATGGGGGGGGGAGGTGAGGAGGGTCGGGCCTTCTCGGAAGGATCGTTAGGTCCCTCCTCCTCCTCCTCCTCCTCCTCGTTTTCCTCCTCCTCGTCTTCTGGGCCTTCTGAAAAGTCGTCTCTGAGCCTTCCCCGAGGACACAAAAAGCCTCTCAAAGGCCGGAGGGCGTCTGAGGAGAAGCCCCGCCGCCTTCTGAGAAGGCCTCCTCCTCCTTCTCACTTCCCCCCTCGATGGCCGCCGAGAGCCTGGACATCGCGCTGCAAGACGAGGAGGGGGTCGGAGAGCAAAAACGGTATCAATACCACGCCAGCCGGGCGATCCCATCAGCGTGACGCTGAAAGAGTGTCACAGAAAAGCGAACGAGCAGCAAGCAAGGCCCGAAAAACGGCACATGCGAATGCGAACGCGGCTTGCAATCCGGCCCGCTGCGGTGCGGTCCTCTGGAGAAGGGCGAGCGCTGGGGAGCGCGCTCCCGCTTGAAACAAAACGATATTCTGCATGCCTTACCTGCGGTGAAACGGGCAGGAGGGGAGGAGAAAAGACACCCTATCGAAAATCACATCGCCCTGCAACTTCTCAGGGTAGCACGCAAGAATCCTCATGACCCTCTTGGAGCTGACCCCATGTGTTGACGTCTTGTGCTCGAAGAAACCGGTGTCGATGATTCTCTCTCTCTCTCTCCCTCTCTCCTGGGGGAGGGCACGTGCCCCGCCCTCCCCTCGGGAAGGCAGGAGCGGTCAGCGTCGAATCGAGAAATCTGGCCGGGTCGGAGTGCACGTCGGGTGCGGCCGCACCGGCACAGGGCCCGGAATCGGACCGGATCGGCCGCGCCAGGATGCACAGCAGCGCCGGGCAAGCCTCGGGCCGCCTCCGATCGTCGGAGAGCCGGAGCAGGAGCCAGAATCCGCACCGCATCGGATCCGCTCTGGCGAAGCAGGGAGGGCCGCGAGGTGTCACCTCGCCGTGGGCGGGAGCAAGCGGGATCGGCACAGGGGAGAGCAGCGAGGCCCACGAGCAGGCGGAGGAGGAGGAGGAGAAACGGGAGAGGAGGACGAGAAGGCAAGGACGATGTGCAAGGAGACAGGAGCGAGGAGGGAGGAGGGAGAGGGGAGAACAGAGAGGAGAGCATTCGAAACGAATTCCGGAAGCACCAGCAGCAGCAGTCATAAAAAAACGAACAAACAAACAAACAAACAAACAAACAAACAAACAAACAAACAAACAAACAAACAAACTACACAGAAGAGGGATCCCGCCCGCAACTCAGCGAGGACTAGGAGGACATACTGGTGCCCGTGATCTCTGAGAGCTGGCCTACCCGCTCTGGTCCCTCCATGTGCTCCCTCACTGTCTGCCTCCCCCCCCTGTCTCCCCCCTATCTTACCCCTCTCCCTTCACCCCCATCCATGCCCCCTCGCTCCCTGCCTGCCCCCCCCTGCATACCAAGACAGGCCCCGACTGTAGCCGAATGCCTCGGGGACGCGCGTGCGCTTGGAGCTCGTCTGCGCCAGCCTGCTCCTCGGGCGAAGCGCGGGCCGACGCAAGGGACGGCGACCACTGCAGAGGAACAGAAACTCGAATGGCCAAAACCATGCGGAGGTCCGCGCGCATCTCTGCAGTCGGCCTCCCTCGCCTGGCGCACGCAGAGCGCCAGGGGCAGCGCTGGAGGCACCGCCATGCAGGTGGGGGCCAGCGCCGACCGAAGAAATCCGCCTGTCATGAATTTCAAGGGATGCTGGGGGCCCAGCGGAGGGACGACCTACTCTGCTCAAATGAAACCTCGCCGTCGCTGGGGGCTGCAAACTGCGAAAGTGTCGCCACACCACTTTAGTGGGTTGATGGGAAGTCCAACGGAATTACGTCCTATTCAGATCAGATGAGACCTCGCCGTCGCTGGGAGCAGCGAAATGCGAAACTGTCGCCGCTCTCGTGGGCCCCTGGAAAGTCCAGCTGGGCGACATCCTCCTCAGATCAGATGAGACCTCGCCGTCGCTGGGGGCTGCGAAGTGTGAAACTGTCGCCACTTTCGTGTGTTCATGGGTGCGAGCTGCGAAACTGTCGCCACCTTCGTAGGCTCCTGGGAAGCCCAGCGGAGTGAGGTCCCTGTCAGATCGCGACTGCAACCTCGCCGATTTTGGGGGGATGCGAACTGCGGACGTGTCGCCGCTTTCGTGGGCTCCTGGGAAGTCCAGCGGAGTGACGTCCTATTCAAATCAGATGAGACCTCGCCGCCGCTGGGGGCTGCGAATTGCGAAACTGTCGCCACGTGCGCGGGCTCCTGGGAACCCCAGCGGACTCCGACTGGCGGCGCGCCTGCAGGCGCTTGGCTCCCACACTGAAAGGTGCAGAAAGGAGGCGGAGAAGCTGGTTGGCGAGTTTGGTCTTGCTTGTTTTTCCCGGAAAGGGTTTAAGCCCAGGGTTCTCTTTTAGTTTGTTTACCCCCGGGTTTGATTTGAGGTGGGCCGGAGAATTTCTTTTGCGATAAATTATCGAGGTCGAGGTGGGCCGGCGAATTAACATTTGAGGATGTCTCGAGCGAAACGCTTGTGTTCATAATTTGCTGAGGATGTCTCAAGCGAAACGCTTGTTTTGTGTTATAGATTGTCCTCTCCTGGGGACCTGAATTCAGAGGATCTCTCAAGTGAAATGCTTGTTTTCACGTGCCCAGGTTTTGTCTCGAGCGAGACGCTTGGTTTCACGCCTCCAGGTTGCATAGACAGATGTCTAGCATGAGGATTTGTTGAGGATGTCTCGAACCAGAGGCTTGTTTTCACGTGTCCAGGTCGCCCAGGCGGATTTCTAGCATGAGGATGTGTCGAGGAAGTCTCGATCCAGACGCTTGTTTGCACGTGTCCAAGTTGCCCAGGCGGATGTCTAGCATGAGGATGTGCTGAGAACGTCTTAAGCGAAACGCGTGTTTTCACGTGTCCAGGTCGCCCAGGCACAGCACAGCCCTCGGCACGGTACATCAATATCGATACCCTTAGCATTGCAGCCTGGCATGTTGCTCGGTGCGTTCTGCGGAGCGTCCCGTGGCGAGTCCCCCTGGCACGTCGCGCGGTGCACGTTCATTGGCACGTTCCGTAGCGCCTCCCCTTGGCACGTCCTGCGGTGCGTGCCCATGGCACGTCCCCTGGCACGTCACCTGGCGCGTCCCTTGCGACGTTCCGCGGCGCGTCCTCCTGGCATGTCCCCCTGTCAATTAGTTCTGGGGCAGCTAACATTTGCTCAGGCAGCTCGAGCTTAAGATCCAGATCAGTTCGGTCAGGACTCGGATGCCAGGGAGGACTCGATCCACTACGCTATATATATAGAGAGAGCACAGTCGCGGCATGGCACATCGCATTTCAGCACGGCCCAGCACAGCACAGCCGTCGGCACGGTACATCAAGATCGATACACTCAACCTTGCACCTTGGCACGTTCCTTGGCGCGTTCCGTGGCGAGTCCACCTGGTACGTCGCGCGGCGCGTCCCGTGGCACGTCCCGCGGCACGTCCATTGGCACGTTCCGTAGCGCGTCCCCATGGCACGGCCCGCGGTGCGTCCCCATGGCGCGTCCCCTGGCACGTCGCCTGGCGCGTCCCTTGGGACGTCCCGTGGCGCGTCCTCCTGGCATGTTCCCTCTGTCGATTAGTTCAGGGGCAGCTAACATCTGCTCAGGCAGCTCGAGCTTAAGATCCAGATCAGTTCGGTCAGGACTCGGATGCAAGGGAGGACTCGATCCACAACGCTATATAAAGCACAATCACGGCATGACACATCGCAGTTCAGCACGGCGTAGCACAGCACAGCCCTCGGCACAGTACGTCAAGGTCGATACTTTCAGTATTGCATTTGCCCGTCGCCCAATCAGATGTCTTTGAAACGTTGCCATGTCTTACATGTCTAGATTCCTTTCCGGCTCCGTGGGTCGATCATGATTGCACAAGCTATGAGTAGCTGTTCCTTGGAACGCCAGAAATGCATGGCGCAGGCCACGTTTCTTATCCTGTGTGCCACAGGGGAAAGCATATAAGTGTGTGTATATATATACATACACACACGACATATACACATACATATGTACGTGCACACGTAGGTATACAACCTTCGTTTATCATCCCGCTTCTTTCGCCGTCGTCCTCGTCCCCCTTCAACCTTCTCCCTGCTGCTACCGCGCTGGCGTTTCGCCCCCCCGTCCGTTCTGTTTCTGTTCCTCGTTCGCACCCCCGTTATTCTTCTAGCCTGGGGCCTCATTCCTCGTCCTTCTATCGCTGTCCTGTGAGTCGTGCAACGTGCGCGTGTCTCATGTAGCTTGGACTACACATGACGGCACGTGTATTACCGCTTACCGTGCAAGTTTGGGCCAAATCCTCTGGTCGCGTGGTGCAAATGGGGTGGGGACGAAACAAGCTAATTCCCCGCCCATCCCTTGGTTGGGACCTTGCTTTGAATAAAACACTGCTCGCGCGTCTCCTCCTCCTATTCCTCCTCCTCCTCCTCCTCCTCATCCTCCTCCTCCTCCTCCTCCTCCTCCTCCTCTTGCTCCTCCTCCTCCTCCTCCTCCCTCCTTCTCCTCCTCCTCCCCCTCCCCCCTCCTCCTCCTCTCCTCCTCCTCCTCCTCCTCCTCATCGTCATCATCATCATCATCATCATCAGCAGCAGCACCATCATCATCATCATCATCATCATCATCATCATCATCATCATCAGCATCAGCATCAGCATCAGCATCAGCATCAGCATCATCATCATCACGATAATCATCATTATCAGCATCATCATCAGCATCATCATCATCAGCATCATCATCGTCATCATCATCATCATCGTCATCATCATCAGCATCATCATCATCAGCAGCATCATCAGCATCATCATCATCATCATCATCACCACCACCACCATCATCATCATCATCATCATCGTCGTCATCGGCATCATCAGCATCACCATCACCATGCCCATCCCCATCACCATCGCCATCACCATCACCATCACCATAACCATCACCATCACCATCAACAACAGCGGCATCATCAGCAGCAACAGCATCAGTATCATCATCATCATCATCATCATCATCATCATCATCATCAGCATGAGCATCAGCATCAGCACCAGAATCATCAGTATCATCATCATCAGCACCACCATCATCATCAGCAGCAACATCATCAGCATCACCATCATTATCATCAGCATCAGCATCAGCATCATCATCGCCATCATCAACAGCATCGGCATCATCATCATTAACATCGTCAGCATCATCACCACCACCACAATCATCATCATCATCATCATCATCATCATCGCCGGTATCAGCAGCAGCATCGTCATCATCACCATCACCATCACCATCATCAGCATCGTCATCATCAGCATCAGCATCATCATCATCAACATCATCGCCATCACCATCATCATCGTCATCGTCATCACCAGCATCGTCATCACCATCATCATCACCATCACCATCATCATCATCAGCAGCATCATCACCATCAGCAGCAGCATCATCAGCAGCATCAGCAGCATCGTCATCGGCATCATCATCATCAGTATCAGCATCAGCATCGTCAGTAACATCATCCTCAGCATCAGCATCGTCAACATCATCAGCAGCATCAATATCAGCAGCATCCGCATCATCGTTATCATCATCATCCGCAGCAGCAGCATCAGCACCATCGCCAGCATCTTCAGCAGCAGCATCAGCATCAGCATCAGCATCAGCATCATCATCATCATCATCATCAGCCGCAGCATCATCATCGTCATCAGCATCAGAATCATCATCATCATCAGCATCATCATCAGCAGCATCAGCATCAGCATCATCAGCGTCGTCATCATCATCAGAATCATCGTTAGCAGCATCATCATCGCCATCGTCGTTATCATCACCATCATCACCATCATCATCATCAACATCATCATGTTCCTCTTCCTCATCCTCGTCATCGTCCTCGTCGTCCTCGTCCTCCTCGTCCTCATCCTCCTGCTCCTCCTCCTCCTCCCGCGTTCCTCCTCATGTCTTCCATCTCCCGCTTTTTCGAACTGCGCAAATGTCGCCGACTTCGTGGGTTTCTGGAAAGTCCAGCAGGGTGATGTCCTACGCAGATGAGAACTAGACGTCGCCCTCCCTGCGGGGCTGCGAACTGCGCATTTGTCGCCGATGTCGCAGGCTCCTGGCAGGTCCAGCGGAGTGAAGTCCCGCGCAAATCAGACTGACACTCTGCCGTCCTTGGCGGGCTGGGAATTGCGAAACTGTCGCCACGTTCGGTGGGGGGCCTGGTAAGTCCAGGGAAGTGGTGTCGAGCGCAGATCGAGACTGAGACCTCGCCGTCCCTGGGGGGGATGCGAACCGCGGACCTGTCGCCAATGTCAGGGGCCCCTGGGAGATCCCGCGGAGTGGTGTCAGCGCAGATCAGACTGAGACCCCGCCGCCCCTGAGGGGCTGCGAACCGTGACGCTGTCGCCACATTGGTGGGCGCGGGGGAGGTCCAGCGGAGTGGTGCCGCGCGCAGATCCGAATGAGGCATCGCCGCCCTTGGGGGGCTACGAATTGCGAGGAGCAAGAGGAGGAGGAGGAGGAGGAGGAGGAGGAGGAGGACGGTGGAGAAGGAGGTGCTTCATGGGGAGGAGGGGGAGGAGCAGCAGCAGAAGCAGGAGGAGGAAAGGAGGAGGAGGAGGAGGTGGAGGAGGAAGAAGAAGAGGAGACCCCCCCCCGCCGCCGGCGTCCCGCTTGGCGCGCCAGTCTCGGGCACCCAGAGCTCGCCTGGCGCGGGTGGACCGCCTCCCGCCTCTTCGGGCCACCCAGAAGGGTCCAGGCAGATGGGGTCGGAGGATCGCGCCGCAGCGCGGCGGCGAGTGAGGGGGGGAGGTGAGAAGGGGAAGGCCTTCAGAGGGCGGCGGGGCATCGCAGAAGCTCTCGCGCCTTCTAAGAGGTTTTCGCGTTTTCGGGGAAGGCTCGGAAAATGTCTCGGAAGGCTGGGGGACTTCCGGACCTTCTGAGAAGGCCCGCCCCTTCTCACGTCCCCCCTGCGCTCGCCACCGAAGTGCATCGCCGATGCATCGGCCATGCGTCGGCGACATCGGCTGCGCAGTGGCGCCGTCGGCGTGAAGAAAAGCGGGCTCCACATCGAGTCTCATCGGCGACGCACTGCTGTTGCTGGTGCTGTGCAATTACCTGACCCCTGTCTAGTCGGGCCCCAGTTGGGAGGCCCAGACTCCCGTCTTGCCCCCGGACCACGAGGGCGAGGGCAGGGGCGAGGGCGGGAAGTGGACATGCGGAACGCACAGGGCATCTATGCTTCACCACCGCGAGTGGCCAGGTCCGTAGTCGTTCTTCCAAACTCTGAGGGTGTTTGTCCCTCCAGTTTGAAGATCGCATGTTTGTATACGTCTTACGCGCTCATGCTGTTACGTGTTCCAGGTCCAGGAATATGGCCCACCTGCCCGTTGCCTGCTCGATTACATTACGCTGTTGTTTCAAAATGCCCTCTGTCGCACGCAAGTCTGAGGCGTTTTGGTAACCTTTCCGTCGAGTCAAGGCCCCCAGAAAAGTCAGATAAATGACCCCAGCGGCCACCAGCCCGACGTCTGCCCGTTCTCACTGCATGTTTGGAAAGTTCTGGGACATCACAATGCCGCCTGCCGCACGCCCACATTCTCAGGTGCAATTGTTGTTCACGTTTTGGTCGAGTCAAGACCGAAAAAGGGAAAACTGGGCCACCCTGGGCCCTGACATGGTGTATATCCGAGGCCAGGAGGTGTGTACACAATCCTGGGGACTGGGATGACCCTAGCCAGACACGGTGGGAGGGCTTCGTGTGAACGCCCAAGGCCAATCGAGCCCGATTGCTGGGCTAAGCAGACCTCAGCTCGATTATGAAACCTGCGTATAAAGCCGGATCCATCGGGATTCAGCCAGATCAGGACGGTGTTTGACCACAGGACGGTGTTCGACCACGGATGTACCAGCACCAGTGCCGAAGTCAACCTCTAGGACTCTGCAACCACATAGGACCGGGGGGAGGAGGATCGTCTCAGCCATCTCATTGGGCACGGGCGGGCCGCCATCGCCAGAAACCGCAAGTGGCCAGCGATGGGCGCGCGGGGACACCAGCATCGTGGCCCCGAATTGGGGGGGAGACGTACTTTTTCTTGCGTCGGCGGCGAGGCAGGGGAAGTCTGCGCTAACGGAAAGGCCTCAACGGCAGTGCCATTGTGGCGAATCGTGCCACCATGCAAGAGGAGGGGGGGAGACGTACAGACGCTCATTGTCCATCAACCCCTCCTCACCCCCGGGCCCGCGGCCTGCCCGATCGAGTCTGGGTGAGAGGGTGGTATCCCTGAGGAGGAGGGGGAGGAGGAGGAGGACGACGACAAAGGGAAAAGAGAGGGGGGCAAAGGGGGAGGAAGAGGAGGAGGAGGGGTATAGGCCCTCCTGGCTCGACCACGGAGGAGGACGCGGAGGAGGACGAGGGAGGGGGCAGGGGAGGGGGAGAAGGAGCACGGCGTAGGCCCTCCTGGCTTGGCCACTGAGGCACAGGCCCCGATCCTCGGCAGCTGGCGCAACCCCCAGAGGCACAGACACCGAGCCTGGGTGGCTGGCCCGGCAAGGCATCGGTGAGGTGGCCAGCTGACGCACCCCCGGGACCGCCGCCACAACGACGGCGGAGGCCGCGACCGAGAACACGTCACCACGAACACAACCACGTGAGCTGACGCCGGACCGCCGCCGCCGGATCGCCGCCGCCGGTGGGTCGCGCTCGCCTCCTGCCCGCGCTCTCCTCCCACCCACGCCCTTGGTCTTAGGAACAGGCGCCCCCCGCCCACGGGGGGCGAGGACCAAGCGGTCGCCCGTGAAGCGCGAGAGATATGGCACCCGTCGAGCTCAAGAGGCGGGGCGCCCGTCAAGCGCATCAGCGCACGAGGCTGGCGCCTGCGCAGTCAAAACTGGGGAAAAGAGCGCAGCATCGCAGCGTGTGAGGAGGCGAGAGAGCCCCCATCGGTCGGGACTGACTGCTGCAGTGGACGCCCGACGATGGCACGAGCCTCTCCCCAGTGCAGCCCGCGCTCCAGACACCGCATCCATGCTGCGGGGTCAGCCTGCTGATCAGACCCGACTGCATGTCGGCCGCCTCCAAACTGCTGGCTCACCCCCGCCTGGACGGCCTGGGCACCGCCCCCTCGCTGCGGGCTGCGCACCAGAGACTGCGGGCGGCCCCGCGCCTGGCCCAAGGCGGCCGTGTCAGCGGCTCACTCCCGCCAGAGTGGTCTGGGCGCCGGACAGGGAGGAGGTTAGGATAAGAGGGACGAGGAGAGATACGAGGAGGAGGGGAAGGAGGAAAAGGAGGAGGAGGCGGAGGAGGAGGAGCGGGAAAAGGGAGAGGGATAAGGGCAAGCTAGGTGCGCTCGCGTCATATCTGACGTCCTACCCCTCCCTCCCATCCCTTACCATGGCGCTGATTTTCTCTATCCGCGGACGCGTGTCGTAGCGGACCTGTGGCTCCGCGCGCGCGTGCGTAGTGGGTGGTGGTGCGTGTGCGTGCGTGCGTGCGTGTGTGCGTGGTGGTGGTGGTGGTGGTGGTGGTGGTGGTGGTGGTGGTGGTGGTGGTGGTGGTGGTGGTGGTGGTGGGTGGGTGGGTGGGTGTGTGTGTGTGCGTGTGTGCGCGTGTGCTGTGGCATGGCACGGGAAATGACGCCAGCGCTGCAGCGGGAACGCGAGTCGAAACGGGCGGAAGCGCGGAAATGGCCAGCGCTGCAGCGGGAGCACGATTCGGAACGAGCGGAAGCACGGAAATGAGGCCAGCGCTGCAGCGGGAGCACGATTCGGAACGAGCGGGGCCCGAAAATGAGGCCGGCGCCTCAGCGAGAGCAGCATTTTAGAAAAAAACACAAGCGAAAACCCAACTCCGGGGAATCCTGTGTGTAAAAAACAGTACGCGGGGGGGTGCCGAATATCTTCCGGACGCCATCAGGGGAAGTGGGAGAGTAGTATTCATATTGTGTAATTGTGAAGGGTGAATGGCTGGGAGGAGGCGGAGGAGACCCGATCCCATCTGGCAGGTCATCCGAGGGGCCCACATCGCTAGATGCCCTGTCGCCGCGCCATAGCCCGAGCTCTGGCACCCCGTCGGCAAATAAGGCGGAACCAGCCTGCAGCAAGCCGAATGGCTCGCGATGTGCTTTGGGCCCCCTCGGACCTGAGCTTGTTAAACGTGTTTAACAAAACATCGCGTGCAATTGCGATGGAGACGATTTCATCGCGCGAGAGAGGCAAGGAAAAAAGGAGCCCAGCAAACACCTCCGCCCCCCACCAAGGCGGGAGCCTAGGCAGATTGGCACGCATCACTCCGAGAAGAGCAGGACAGACAAGGTAATGCACGATCTGGTCACCAGCAATACATTGACATCCAAACCTGCAACCTAGCGTGGCCTGGCGGCACCTCCGAGAGGTATTCCAAGCGTTGCATATACTGCGCAGCAGACTGAGTTGAACAAAGGGAGCAATGTGCTGGCCGACCACTCTTAGCCGAGAGAAACACAATTGGACCTCAGGGGCCCCGACTTGACCAGCTTCAGGAAACCTCGAGGCCCAATATTGGAGACGCCTCAGGATAAGCTCTGGAAATGGGACCAGGGGTTGGTGGGCGAGCACAAGCTTGGTCATTTTCTTCTGAAGCCCGTGCTCGAAGATGGTGGGGGCTGACGGGATTCGGGATAAGTCACGATAGTTCTGGTTCATCATTAAAACGAAAGACTTGGTATAAACGGGACGAAGATGCGCGTCCAGATGGCATTCGGGGTCATCGAACGCGTCCTCGATTTTCTCGATGCAAGCGAAAAAGACGGAAGAGGCGAGGGTAGCACGATATGCAGCGGCACGAGCTTCGCGCGTGAGAGACCTGGCCCGAGATAGTTTCGCCCCAAGAGACTTCATTCCCACCAGCATGTGATCAGACAAGGCATGCCGAGGAGCACATGTAAGCGACTGTAGCCCGAGATGCACCTGCCAACTGCACTCGGCCGTGGGTGGAAAGAACTGGGCAATGAACATGAGCACAGTGACTGCGATCTGGTTGTACGCCACGAGAGACATCGACACGCCTAACTTCAAAGACTTAATGAAGCCGCAGCGGTCACGGAACTTGACCAGTGGGGCGGCCCAAGACTCCTCCTGGGCCCTGATCCCGCACATCACGCCAAGATACTTGGCACACTTAGACATCCCGAAGCTCCGAACTCTGATCCCCTGCCGTTGGAACTTCCTCTCCTCCTCCTCCCTGTTAAAATCGCGGTCGAATAATATCACCGTTTTCTTGAGGTTCGGAACGAGGCCCGCGGCGCGCCCTGCAAGCATCATAATTTTCATGAAAATGGGCACGGCCGCGTAGATATCAAAGGCGGCGGAGGCAACGTCGTCGGCGAAGGCACCGTGCACATGGACAGGTCGGGGCAGCCGAAGACAGAGCAAGCGTAATATCGGGTCGAACCCCAGGGCGAACACACTTCCCGAGAGTGGGCATCCTTGCTTTATCCCTCGGAGGATACGGAAAGAGCAGTGAGAAACCCCGCCCAGGAGAATGGTGGTGGTAACCTTGGCGTAGAGCGTCTTTATCGCATTCAGAACAAACTCGGGAAAGTTCATTTTCTCGAACACGAAAAATATCAAATCATGGCATAAACTTGGAAAAGCGGCCTTAATGTCCAGCAGGATAGCGCCTGCAGTCTGTCGCCATAACAGACCTGCTCCTACGACCATGTGTGTCTCGAACTCAATGAGATTGTCAAGCAT